AACTAAGATTTTTGATCATCCTTTTCGGAAAACCCTGCTGGCGGGATTGTATCCCATCATAAAGATGGAACTTAATAGAGGTCACTGCTCACGCTCTTTTAATAAATAAATGAGGACAAACGGAATAAATGTTAGATCATTTGTAAAACAGCAACTTGAGTTCTGGAATTGGTAAGTTGTGGTCTAGAGATAGGTATTTCTCCAACCCGACTAAGAAGGAAGACAGTGTCACGATTAAGTTTGCATCTGCTATTCTCCCAGCAGAGGCAGATAGACTAGCAGATGAGCGCGATGACATCCGAAGTTCCAACCCCGACAACACAAGCATTGTCCAGCTATACCACTATATCGGCAGCTTAATAAATAAATAAAGACAAGTGGAATAAATATTAGATCATTTGAAAAACAGCAACTTGAGCTCTGGAATTGTTAAGTTGTGGTCTAGAGATAGGTATTTCTTCAACACGACGAAGAAGGAAGACGTTGTCACGATTAAGTTTGCATCTGCTACTCTCCCAACAGAGGCAGCTAGACTAGCAGATGAGGGCGATGACATCCGTAATACCAACCCCAAGTATTGTCCAGCTATACCACTATGTCGGCAGGTTGATAAATAAATAAGGACAAGCGGAATAAATGTTAGATCATTTGAAAAACAGCAACTTGAGCTTTGGAATTGGTAAGTTGTGGTCTAGAGATAGGTATTTCTCCAACCCGACGAAGAAGGAACACAGTGTCACGATTAAGTTTGCATCTGCTACTCTCCCAACAGAGGCAGCTAGACTAGCAGATGAGGGCGATGACATCCGTAATACCAACCCCAAGTATTGCCCAGCTATACCACTATATCGGCAGGTTGATAAATAAATAAGGACAAGCAGAATAACTGTTAGATCATTTGAAAAACAGCAACTTGAGCTCTGGAATTGGTAAGTTGTGTTCTAGAGTTCGGTGTTTCTCCAACCCGACAAAGAAAAGTTTGCATCTGCTATTCTCTCAACAGAGGCAGCTAGACTAGCAGATGAGGGCGATGACATCCGTAATGCCAACCCGAACAACCAAAGTGTTGTCCAGCTATACACTATAAATAAGGACAAGCGGAAAGATCATTTGAAAAACCGCAACTCGAGCTCTGGAATAGGTATGTTGTGGTCTAGAGATCGGTATTTCTCCAACCCACCGAAGAATAAGTCGGATGACCATTTGAAGGGAAAAGAGAGTGGCAAATTGAAACGAAAAGATGTTCGCAAACTTCACAACATCCCGATACCTAAAACAGGGAAGATCGCAACAAAGGGTCAGAAATCAATAAAAGATATTCTATTCCGAATATCCTTTTTATTGATTTCTGTAGATTCTGTCACAATGAAAGACCCTTCTTTATAAGAGTTAAATAATACTAACATAGATAGTTTTTTTAGAAGATCTTTCTAGCATTTATATTAATGAGATCAATTCATGAATCGGGTTGGTTTGATTCTCAACAAGATGTCCTATGGGAATGATCGAAAGTAAAACAAAGAGACCAATTTATGAACTCAAGCTTAACATATTAAAACAAGTGTACAGTTACAGAATATATATACAAATTAGAGAAGGATTTTAAGAATTTAATTGTATCTGTCGGATAAGAGAAACTTTAAGGTAATAGTTAATATAAAGATATTTTTATGTACGAAACATTACGGAACGTCTTTTCTCACATTTCGAACATTCTGATTAAGGTTTGATGTCTTCCAAATTGTTTTCATTTTAATTAAATAATTAAGACAAAAGAATAAGATCTTCTTCTGAATCATTAAAATCAATTTGGTCAATTTAGACCCTCGAATACATTATAAGGGTTAAAATAAATTGTATTATTTAAGGTTTAAATGGAAACTAACTAGAGACCCCAAAACCAAAACTAAAAAAGACACAACGGTGTTTTAATTTATGCATGATACGAGTATATGATTTTAATTTCAAATGTATGCTTCTCAAATTTATATCTAAATTCATACCAACCACAACCAACCTTTATTTGAAAAAAGACTGTTCTACAAGAACAATGCATAATTATTTAAGCTACGAAGGTCTTCTCAATTAACTTGTTGTAAACAATTGTAGTTTTTTTTTTTTTGGATAAATTTCAGCTTCCAAATTGTTACATACAATAAAAAACAAGTCTAGCTGTTTAAAATAAGGGAAATAAAAAATTTACTTTTAAACATTATAAAGTAAAAAAAAACTAATTGTGTTATTTTTAATAAACAAACACAGACACGAGAAAAATTTACTCGAAAATTCATTTTATAAATGAGAAGATATGACCAACAAATGAGTAAGTGACGTAGGTACTAAAAACGCCGCAAAAAATAAAACAAAATGATGATGAGATCACCCAAAAATAAAATAAAATTGCTCAAAAAAGCAAAAAAAAAAGTAAATAAGTCATTAGTATTTAAGTTTATAGATTGAATATTATTAAAGAAAATTAAAACAAATATTTACCACGCCAAAAATGACCATAAAACTGTTAAACAAATAAATTTGTGTGAATAAACTGTTTATTACAAATTTGTATTTATTTTGTTGTGATATGAAAATTACCATTAAAGGTAAATCTTCCTACTAGAGTTAAGCTTAAAGAAGATGTTACTAAATTAGTTTAAAATTAGAGACAGCTTTAATTGTTTCAATTAATTAGTAGTATTTTATAAATAGCTTTTAGAATAATGTGGCATTTGTTTAAAAATTTTGAAGCCAAAGATCTTATTCATCATCGTTTATCAAGTCGACAAAGTAACTTTTCGGGAACTGTGTCACTGTGGTACAGGAATGGCAAAATTATAAATACAAAATATGCCCGTATTGGATTGTAAGAAAGATTTAACCGAATACTCTCCACCAGGGTACTCGGGAATAGTGGACTTTATAAGGAAGGTAGTTAACTTGACGAACGCAAAACCATTCGACGATCCTGTAAGGTCCCAAGAGGCATTATTAACCCTTTCCGTGGTATTCGACATTACAATAGACTCTGTTTTTAAGCATTTTTTGGGTATAATATTTAACTTTAGTTTTAATTTTTTTCTTTTAGATGAAAATGAAGACTTTATTATATTTATAATTGAGATTTTGAAAGATCTTCCGTATTTTAAAAGTATTTAAAATTCAGATTTTAAGAAATTGTCACTTATGACTACTTTTTAAAAAGTGCTTTTTAACAACGTTTAAAAAACAGCTTCATTTAATGGCCAAAAAAATTGTATTTTAGGAAATCGGACTATGCAGATTTAAATAATATTGTATTGAAAGAAGTTTAAGAAGACATTTTACAAAAAAAAATTAATAAAAAATATTGGTGGTACTTTTTGGAGACTGTTTTTCGAATGTCGAATATATTCGACATTTAACTTTGACCTTCTATAACTCACTAGGGAAAACTCAAATTCAAAAAATATTATTTTTCCCGGATTCAGCATACTCAATTATCTTAAATATAAGTTTTCAAGTTTTTTTCTAGACATAAATTATTTTTGACCCTGAAAGGGTTAAACAGTGGGCAAAACCACACAAGATTCTACGATCCCACGACAATTGGATCTTCGCTCCAGAACGACCCGAGTTATTCTTGGCCAAATATCGTCAACCCAGCGAAAGCTGTATCAACCAAAAGTTTTTTCATCAGGAAAGAACTATCGGCCACAGTCGAACTGTTACAACAACAAAGATCCTATGGGGTACCCTGTAGAAAGTTGAACTATTGCAGATTCAGACGAATGTAAAGCATGTGGAGAGGACAGTGAAACTTTGCAGCAATTTCTTTGCAATTGTCAGGCTTTTGTCGAAATTTTATTAATATCTTGGAAACACTAATTGGAAAATTCTTAGGAATTACATACAGGAAACTAAAGTTCTGAAAATCGGACGATAATACCTTCATTGTTGGTTTTAACTAACAAACATTTTCTATGAAAATGTGCGCTTAACAGTCCCGATAGTGGCCTAATACATCCAAAGATCAACTAACCTAACCGTAGTATAGACTAGACAAGAATAGTCAATTGTCTAATTTAAAGTCTACTCTATGAATGTCTTGGGACTAATATACGCTCTATTCTATAGACTAGCACTATAGACTAGTCTATTCTGTATAGTAGTATATTGCCTAGTTTATAGTCCATAGGGAGGTAATAGACTGTGTAGAATATGAACTAATCTATTTACTTAATGGACTTGTTTATTGACTGACTAATCTATGGGCTAGTACAAACTGTTAATTTTGAAAGTCTTATGAATCCATCTTCCTATTTCTATTGAATCATTTAACATTCAAAATATTTTATTTAAAAAACATAACAGTACATATATTGATTAGTTTACTGACAGGTTTACGGACTAATGAACTTGGTTTGAGATAATTGTTGGTGGTTTTTACATTTCTTTCAATGTAAAAGCCACCATCAATCCTTCCACACCTCTTGGAGCCGTCAGTGTAAACATTTGTTAGATGAGTGGGATTCAGTTACAGAATTCCTCTCAGGCATCCAGACTTAATAGCGTTAATCGAGAGAGGCTCTCGTTGAGCATTCTCGTTATTAATCGAGAATGCTCAACCAGCCCACATGCATTTAGTCTGATTGCAAAATTAAGGGAAAGTTGAATCGCCAGGTCAGCTGGTACCTGGTCGTCTTCAGTGCTCCCGCAATGATTCTTATGTGCGTTCAATGGCTGCAGTGAGAAGCGCTTTGCATTGCCTGCAATATGGGCTTAACCTGGGCTATGAAAATCCAGTTGATACCTTTGAGGATAATACCCAAGTTGGTACCAATCGCTTTCCTATTCTGAATATTAATGTTCCAGGACAGTGCAGTATAAAAAGAAAAATCAGTCGAAATTGTTCTTTTATACTATTATGTTTGATTTTTTGATACTAAATCCACTATATTTTCAACTTAACAGACATAGCGATAAAATATTTTTAATTTCTTTAATAAAACAAAATAAAAACTTACCTTTTTTAAATATAAACTGCTTTAATTTCAAAAACAAATTAACGTTTCTTTTTTCCACTTAAGCGTATGTTAAAGAAGCCAAAATGTCTGTTACAATTATTGTTCTATTACTGTTAACTTTAACAGCAAATGTTTCCTGTAAAATGGACCAAAAAAACAAGAATATTGTCAATAGGGTGGGTGGCTGTAGTTTTTCCAGCAAAACAAACAAAAAAAAAAAAAACAACACACAAGAGATGTAAAAAGATGAAAATTTTAATAGTTTATGCACAGAGAGGGTAGTTGAACTTTTATCGATTTGAGTAAAAATTATATATAATTTTCGGTAAATTTTAGTTGGTATAACAACATGTAAACAGGCTTTATCTATTATTTAGTTTTTTTAAGTTAAATATATTAAATATTTTTAAAAAATAATTAGTTTTTTTAATGTTTTTATATAAAACAAGGTTTTAAAATAAACGTTAATTTTGACAAAAAAAATAATAAATTTGTAAGTATAAAAAAATGTGTTTCTTGTAAAAACAGGGAGTTTTCAATACAATTTTCTTTCCAAACATATATTTTACACATGAAAGAATTAATTTAATTTTTTCTAGTTAGAAAATGTTAAAATTATTAATAAAAATGAAAATCCTTTCAAGCGTAAAATATTTTTTTTCTTTCTATATTATTCATTTCATCATTCTATGCACAAAACAACACTCACGAGCTTTGAGATTTTTGTTTAATGTTTAATTTGTTTCTTCTTTTATATTTAGATATACAATATATTTTTATTATTTATAGCGGAGCTTAAAATTGTGACAACACCCGGAACGTTTGGTTAGCACGTAACAACTGAATTGTATATTGAGCGTACTCGTGCGCATTTGCTATATTAAAACATCCAAATTGTATTACAGTTTGGCCAATAAAAACTACTACTACAACGGGCTTTTTTTCTTGAAGGGGCTCTTATTTTGTACATATCAGTTTTGTTTAATACACATTTTGCTTTTTAGTTTTATTTTCTTTTTTCTTTTGTTACGTCGTTTAAGTATGATGCATGCTCCCACCGGTAAATGTATTGTTTAGTTTTTATTAAACGCTACCAATTATAGGGGGGTATATACGATTTGTCACAATAGAAAGTCTAAAAACCATTATTAATAAAGGAAGTATTACTAGTCAATAGACTGGACCATAGACTAGGCTATAATCTAGTATATAGTTTAGTGCATAGTCTGGTGTATAATCTAATGTATAGTATAGTCTAGTCTATAGTCTAGTCTATAGTCTAGTCTATAGTCTAGTCTATAGTCTAGTCTATAGTCTAGTCTATAGTCTAGTCTATAGTCTAGTCTATAGTCTAGTCTATAGTCTAGTCTATAGTCTAGTCTATAGTCTAGTCTATAGTCTAGTCTATAGTCTAGTCTATAGTCTAGTCTATAGTCTAGTCTATAGTCTAGTCTATAGTCTAGTCTATAGTCTAGTCTATAGTCTAGTCTATAGTCTAGTCTATAGTCTAGTCTATAGTCTAGTCTATAGTCTAGTCTATAGTCTAGTCTATAGTCTAGTCTATAGTCTAGTCTATAGTCTAGTCTATAGTCTAGTCTATAGTCTAGTCTATAGTCTAGTCTATAGTCTAGTCTATAGTCTAGTCTAGTCTAGTCTATAGTCTAGTCTATAGTCTAGTCTATAGTCTAGTCTATAGTCTAGTCTATAGTCTAGTCTATAGCTAGTCTATAGTCTAGTCTAGTCTAGTCTATAGTCTAGTCTATAGTCTAGTCTATAGTCTAGTCTATAGTCTAGTCTATAGTCTAGTCTATAGTCTAGTCTATAGTCTAGTCTATAGTCTAGTCTATAGTCTAGTCTATAGTCTAGTCTATAGTCTAGTCTATAGTCTAGTCTATAGTCTAGTCTATAGTCTAGTCAGTCTAGTCTATAGGTCCTAGTCCTATAGTCTAGTCTATAGTCTAGTCAAGGTGGTCTATAGTCTAGTCTATAGTCTAGTCTATAGTCTAGCCTTATAGTCCTAGTCCTATAGTCTAGTCTATAGTCTAGTCTATAGTTCTAGTCTATAGTCCTAGTCTATAGTCCCTAGTCTATAGTCCTAGTCTATAGTCTATTCTATAGTCTAGTCTATAGTCTATATCTAGTATTATATTCCTAGTCTATATTCTAGTCTATATTCTAGTCTATATTCTAGTCTATAGTCTAGTCTTATTCAGTCTATATTCTAGTCTATATTCTAGTCTATATTCTAGTCTATATCTTAGTCTATATTCTAGTCTATAGTCTAGTCTATAGTCCTAGTCTATCGTCTAGTTCTATAGTCTAGTCTAGTCTATGGTCTAGTCTATAGTCTATGGTCTAGTCTATAGTCTAGTCTCTAGTATAGGTCTATAGTCTAGTCTATAGTCTAGTCTATAGTCTAGTCTATAGTCTAGTCTATAGTCTAGTCTATAGTCTAGTCTATAGTCTAGTCTATAGTCTAGTCTATAGTCTAGTCTATAGTCTAGTCTAGTCTAGTCTATAGTTAAAATTGAGTAACGCAGTTTGAAAACAAGGTCGAATCAGTAAAATTGAAGTCTGCACTTGTGTAACCGGGAGAAATTGAATTAAAAAGATGTTGGTCGTTACAAATATCAGAAAATTTATAACACCTTCGGCGCTATCGTAATGTAGAATGTAATGAACATTATTTTTCCGCCACTTGAGTACGATGTTTTTTAATTCGTTTCAGTCTTTAAAAAAAATTCCTTTCCCCCTTTATCTTTTGTACAATGTTTGTCTTATATGTAATGAGCTGTATGTGATTGTAATACAAAACAACAAATATTAACGTTGGTGGCTTTCATGAATTACAATTTACATTATTATTCTAGATAGAATTGTTGCCCCCCTCCAACTTATTTTTTAAATTTACACAACATTTCTGTATGTTAATATTCCCGCCAAGTTTCTTATGATTATTATTTAGCTTACCTTTATTTTATTATATTTCTCTAAATACACTTTATTATAACTTGAGGTAAAACTAAATTTCTAAATTAAACACTAAATTACAAAATTTGCTAAAATTTCAACAACTGTGTGGGAATTTTTGTGTACAACTATTTTTTTTCTTTTTTGTTTTCTTCCTATTTCTCACTACTCCAATCAGCTGTCTAATTTTTTCCTCTTACTAGATAAAAGCAATGTTGCCACAGTTTACAGTTTTCTAACCTAAATTCTTTAAAAATAACCGAATTTTTAATAAAAAATAACTAGAAAGAAAAGGTATAAAAATAAGTAAAAAACTGTTATATTCACATGTATTACTATTATAGCCTTTACTTTAAATGCTGTATGTAAAATACCGACCTACGGATAGTCATTATATGTTACACAAATTAGATATTGGTGTGTGAGCTATATTTGACCCTAGCCCTTTAAAAAATGACTTTATTCTTCTATAAAATACAAGCAGAAAGCGGCATCCACTGGCCTATTTCTCTGTTAGTAAAAGAAATATCTAAACCTAAAGTTTTCCATTTACACATACACGAAATCTAGTACTTATGAGATTTCGAGTCAAATCTAGTTGATTTTAACTAGATTTCCCATACAAAACAGAATACTTCGTAAGTAGATTTCGTTAAAATCTACTCAAAATCTAATAGTTTTTAGTGATACAACTCTGTTTTTTCCTAAATAATACTAAAACATACGACGCTACACAAGAAAAACGAGAAAAACAAAACAAACAAAAAAATTAAAATGTCAACAAAATTTTAATAAATTGAAAAACATGAATGAAAAATGCCAAAAATAGTAATTGTAAACGGTCTAGAGATTTTGAATGGGGTATTTGTAAGGTGTAATTGATTAAAATATAAAATATCAGAAAAATTTGTAAATAAAAGAAACCCTAAAATGGCAACAATTGATAAAAGTCAAAAAAGTGTTGGCAATTAAGTGTCGGAAACAAGCGATTTCAATGGCAATTTACTAGTAAAATTTCTAGCGATTTAATACATATGTGTATATTTTTCCATAATTAAATTAAAAATATTTGTATTAAAAACATTTACATTCAACAATAACACAGTATAACAAAAATCACAAATCATCAGCGGTAAATAGACTGCTGCCGAGGGTTAAATTTTGCATCGAAAGCCAGGGTTGCATTGTACCGGAAATTGCGAAGAGGTTGTATTGAGTTAATTGTAGTTGTTATTTACAAGTGTTTTCAAAATGTTTAATGTATCTAGGAAAGCCTAAGGAAAAGTTGGGTATCAGTCCAGGAATTGCCTTTTTATGTATTAGGATTACAGGTTTATTACAATGGTCTCATGGAGATGCAATTGGCGGTATCTAAATCTGGTTCTATAGGAAATTACTTTTTAGTGCGAGTCTACGGCTCTGCTGATGCTATATTGTCATCTTTGATTTCTTTGGTCACATAAACCATTATTAACTTTATGAATCCGAAGTTAGTCACATTTTTCCTTGCAAAATTCCCCAAATCAACTATCAATAACATTAATTTTTTACTAGGTAAATGAATACTTTAGTGGAATTAAAATTGGATTTTTATAAATTACCTTACCATATCTTCCAATTCCTCTTTTTTAAAACGGTAAAATATTTTATTAGGTTTCATTTTTCATTTAAGTATTGTTTTATAATTGTTTTATACATAATTCAAAAATATCCGTTATATTTAAAATTTAATTTAAAATATTTCTTTCATTCAATTTGCAATAAATAGAAAAAATTTAAATTAATTCAATTTATTCCACAAAAAAAAAAATATCTTATTTATTAATTGCGTACAAGGCCAAAATATAGTTTTGCAAATTTTAAAACGAATTAAAAAAGTAGGTGAATTAGTTTTAAACAGAATTCATTCTTTCGTGGACAATTTTTTTGTAGATTGAAGTTTGTTTTATATTTTCAAGGAGCACAGAAAATAATGCCTGTTCAATAACAAAAACTTGTTACAAATTATCACAATTTGTTTTTGTATTTCAATACAAATTTTAAATATTTTTAAGAAAATTAGTAAGAACTTTTAGTACTGAACAGACCTAATATCTTTTTAATTTAATTGTTCCTATGAGACGAAGAAAAATCCATAAGGAACGAATTATATTAGGAATCTATGGAATATGAATACATATTGCAAATATTTAAAGTCGAAGTAAAATTTGAGTTGCGCATTAAAAATAAATATTTAAATATAATCCGCATTTTGTAAGCTTTGATTTAAGGCATAATATTCAAAGATCTAAAATATTACATGATCACATGACCAGAAAACCTATTTGAAACAATAAGATAATTCTTTTTAATGAATCGTCCAATTCATGAGCACATATTTCGATAAACTTAATCAGATAAACTAAAACACTCTGCACTCCCACTTCCGTTTGTTTACCTTTTAATAAACACATAAGAAAGCAACCACCACTATGTATAAATTCCTTTTTTTGTCAAATTAGGTTTTTCTTTTTTATTGATCCATGAAATAAAAAAAAAAGAATGGATTCCACAAAACAGGAATTATCTCTTTTCAGCTAGAACGTGAACTTAAACTCTAATTTCTACGGCTGTAGTTGTTGGTAGAGGTTTGAGTCAATTGGAGACCACGAATGTTGTGGAAGTCCAAGAGCTTCAACATCTCCTTGGTGTCAGGATCAATTTCAATGATATCTTGTTCCAAAGCAGAGACGGCAGGAACGTAGTTATCACGACGTTCACGTTCTTCTTCTTGCAATTTAATGGAGATACCACGAACTTGGGAGTGGCGGAGACGGCCCATTAAATGTGTAACATAACTAAAAAGATAATAAACAATTAGCCCATAAATTCATTTGGAATGAATGAAGTATAAAACTTACCCGGCAATCTTGTTTCTCAAGGGCTTGGTGGGGATGATAGCGACTTCTTCGCAGATACGCTTGTTGGTATGGAAATCCAAAGTCAAGCGGGTGTAGTATTTTTCAATGATGACCTTAGCGGCCTTCTTGACTGTCTTGGTTCTAACACGACCCTGTTCATTTTTAAATTATCCAAATCATTCAATTGTGTTGGAGTTTAGTGTAGAGCAGCAAGCAAAATGGAGAGAACAATAGAAAAATAAAAACATTAGTATCATTTTTAACACTTGCTTTGTTTTTGCAATTCTTTCGATATTTTCACAGAAATTTCAATAAATCTTTATGCGTTAAACACTTTTGTACTTATTTTTTATTAATTTTATTAGAAATTTTCACAGATGTTATTGAATTTTCACGATTTTTAATAAAAATTTGACAATCGGACACCTACCATGGCGGACGATTTTACCGGAAAAGAACAGCTAGATGTTGTGTTTCATCGAATGTCATTGTGACAGTTTTGACAGCGAGTTTTCAGCACATTCAGCATTTGTATATGTGAATGACAAAGATGTGTTTAGTTTTCATTAAGTTGATACAGTAGTGGCTGAAATGAAAGTCTACATTTACATTTACTTCAAGTTTTCTCTCTTCAAAGAATTCAAAGAAAAAAGTGCTACAAACACGAGATACGAAAAATACATTGCTGTTGGACAGACCAGAATATGCTAGGTAATCAAACATATGTATTTTAAATGGTACATCAAACAAAATCTGTTTGAAAGAAAAATTCAGCGATTTTTTGCGCGACCTGCATGTTTTCACGCAATTTTTGCAACTTTATAAGAAATGTTGATGGGATGTATCCTAATATACAGTGAATCAACTAAGTTTTTTGCCTACTTTTTTTTAAGAGAATTTTGTTTTTTGTTCATAAATAAAATTTAAAAAAACAGGTAAAAAGTAAATTTATGTTTTCCAATTGAAAATAGAGATAATGTAGAATGGGAAAACCAAGAAAAAAATATTAAAATAAAAATTTTGGTGCATTTGTTGTTGCATTTTATTATTTTTCATCAGAATTTGCACGTCAATAAAGTATTTTGCATATTGAAAATTCCAGTTAATTTCGTTGGATTTTTCAAATAATTTTTTAATTGCTTTTTGGAATTTATTGTTTTATTGTTAAAAGGACACGTGTTAAGTATTTTTCAATTGTAATTTTCAAAAATCATATCCTCATTGTGTGAAACTGTGTAGTTATTTGCGTCAAAAATGTTTAAAGGGAAATAATTAAGCAATTCCAATATAAAAAATTAGTTTAGATTTTTAGAACAAGTGTAAATCAATGAAATTCAATTATGAGATGTTTAATCAATCATTAAAAAATATAAAATATAGAAATTGATGAAATAACACAAAGAATTATTAAAAAAAAACGCACTGAGTTGTCTTTCAAAATCTTTAACTGCCAAAGGAGAGCGACTTGTATGCAAGCAAAAACCATTGAAGTCCTAATTTTTCTTCTCCAAAGTCCATATACGAACTTAAAAGAACACTATGTTTGAATTTAGACCTCTAAACAGACCTTAGGTTGCTTGGAAACAATATAAAGTGAACTATCGTGTGGTACGGGAAAAATACTTAATTTAGATATTTACAAATAGAGGCGGTTCTCATCACCTAAGATCCACAAAAGCAATATTTTTCAGCTAATACATACACTTATATATAGTTAGAACCCAAATTAAGAATAACTATCCAAATCCAACTACACCTGCTGTATTTTATTCATAAAATAATGCATTCAAAATATGAGGTAGAATATCAAGATTCTAGCATGTAATAGTTCTATAGTGGTATACGGTGATATCCCCATACTTAGAGTGGCTAGGATGGTACTTAGTGTTAGCTTTATTGAATAAGAATCAATATTATACAATTCTAAATGAAATTCACACAGTACTCTCCAAATAGATGGGGTTTCCGTAATGTAGTTTTTGTTTATCAATACAAAATGACCAAAAACCCAGATTATTTTTGTTATAATCTATAGATTTATACCCCACTAACATTTTTTCTAGGTCCAAATCCATTGATTTCCTAATATATCATGTATCCAATTCAAAATTACTTATTATTTTCGAAATTAAATCAAAGAAACGATAGATTTCATGTTAAGTCAAATATTGAAAAATTCTTATAGGTATATAGGATAATAAATCGGTTAAGAAATGTCCAAACTTGGTCGTTCCACTACTAAAATATCTAAAAAATGTTATTCTAACACATAGGAGTAATAAAAATGTTAAATTTTATAAAATAATGCAGCAATATTAAAAAATGAACAAAAAACCTAAAAAAGCAAAATACTTTATTGACCTTAAAAATTAACAATACGTTCACATTTTATCAAAAATCTTGTTAATTAATATCACGATTTTACTTTTTATGGTAGAAAATTAAAATATAAGATATTCTTTAAAAAGTACAACAAACAAATTAGGTTAGGTTAGGTATCGAGGGCAGCTGCTTCATGAGCAGCTCACTTGGGTCCATTTAAGGTTGGTCCCGTTGTGTTACCCTAGTGGTCACAGGAGTTTGGTATAATTTCACTCCCTGCTTCCAGATCTAAACCAACCGGTTTCATTTATGTAGCATAGGATGTTCTTCAAGCCTATCCCTGAAAGCTCCTCCATACCAGCCAGAAAGGGAGCTCCAAAGTGATTCTCCCTACTCTCGGTAAACGTGGGGCAAAAGCAAAGAAGATGTGATATCGTTTCATCTTCTTCCTCATTATGACAACTTCTGCAGTAGTCATTATATCCAAGACTGATTACTGATACAAGAGTCCGTATCTGCTCCCTTCGGAAGCTCATAAGTAGTCTTGATCTGCTGGCATCATATAGGGGCCAAATGGACCTCGAGACTTGACAGGTGGTTTCATTGAACCACCTGATTTGGGCTTTCCCATATAGTTCATTAAGAACAAGTGCCTTACAGTTTGTAAGGGAAATACCAGTAAAGGCGTCTATTTCCTCCTCAGCCATCATTGTGCCTTTCCTGGCTAGCTCGTTAGCTATACAGTTACCCTGACATTTATCATGGCCAGGGACCCATATTAGCGTTATCCTAGAATTTCTCGCTATCTCATTTAGAGATATCCGGCATTCTCTGATTAACCTAGATGTCGTAAAGACACCCGCTATATTCTTGATAGCAGCTTTACTGTCAGTATATATACATATATCCCCCGATATGTGATAATACCTTAGCCAATTTGCTGCTCTTTTAATAGCAGTTATCTCTGCCTGAAGAACACTACAGTAATTGGGCAGTCGAAAGGATGATCTAATACCAAATCCTTCAATAAAGAAACCACCACCCACTTTACCACTCCTTTTAGAGCCATCAGTGTAGACTCTCGTTACACCTGGAGGGGGGTGAGTTTCTAGTTCAAGGTTCCTATGTGGAATCCTGAAGCAGAAGCGATTATCGAAGTTGGGCTTCGTAATGCAATAGTCAACATTCAAATGTAATAATTCGAAATGTTTTATAATTCTAGAATGCCCGTAGTCTCTGCACTCAGACCATGAGCCGCAGGCATTTAATCTGATCGCAGAGTTAAGGGCGAGTTGAAAGGCCATTAAGTCAGCTGGTAACCAATTCAGCATGGTTAACAGTGCCTTGGTTGGCGTTGTCTTCATTGCTCCCGTAATAAGGATTGCAATGTTTCTCATAGTGCGCTCGATGGTTGCACAGTTTGTAGCATGCTCCATGGCCTGCCACCATACTATAACCCCATAAAAAAGTATGGGCTTTACTACTGCCTTGAAGATCCAGTTAATACCTTTCGGGTTGATGCCCCAGTTTGTACCAACTGCCTTCTTGCATGTATAGATAGCCACATTGGCCTTGTTAACCCGGTTCTGAATATTCAGATTCCAGGATAGCTTACAATCTAAGATTACGCCAAGATACTTTGCGTGATCCGAGATTTTTAATCTAATTCCATTCAGCTTTGGCGGTATAAAGTTATCAATTTTATACCTCCTAGTGAAAAGGACTAGTTCAGTTTTCAGTGGGTTAACACTGAGTCCACAAGAAACACTCCATTTACTCAATAAGTTAAGAGCAGTTTCCATACAACGAGATATTGTATCGGGGAATTTACCCGATATCAACACTGCCACATCGTCGGCATAAGCGACAGTCGTAATTCTTCTGCTATCCATTTCAGACAGTAGAGTATTCATAGCCACGTTCCACAGTAAGGGAGACAAAACTCCCCCCTGGGGAGTGCCACGATTGGCAAGTCGCGAGACGCAGACTCCCCCCATTGTGGCACTAATGACCCTATTGCTCAATAGCTTCCCAATGAGCAACTGAGTCTGGGAGTCAACACCCAGTCCTCCTAGCGCAGTTAGGATGGCACTGGGTTCAACATTATTAAAGGCACCTTCGATGTCAAGAAAGGCGACAAGAGAGTACTCCTTATACAGTAACGAACGTTCAATATGTCCAACTAGTGAATGAAGAGCTGTTTCAACAGATTTACCTTTAGTGTATGCATGCTGTGATTTAGAGATTCGTTCCGGTGGGATGGTCATTCTCAAATGGACATCAATAACCCGTTCTAGGGTCTTGAGCACAAAGGACGCTAGACTAATTGGTCTAAAGTCCTTAGGTTTGGTATGTGATGCTTTCCCTCCTTTGGGAATGAAAACAACGTTATACCTCATCCACGTACTAGGAATATACAGCGTAGTTAGACATGCCTTGTAAATTAAAAGCAGCCATGGTATCAAAAGATCTTCATTTTTCTGAAGGTCTGCTGGAATAATACCGTCAGGACCCGGTGATTTATATGGATCAAAACTGTTAAGAGCCCAACAAATTCTCTCTCTATTGATAATAACAGAGCTGGGATTTGTCGTGCTGTGATCCAGGGTAGTCCTTATTCCATTATCTTCAATGGGCTGACATCCCGGAAAGTGAGTATCCAACAGGACTTCAAGAGATTCCCTGCTAGACGTAGTCCAACTACCACAGGGTTTTTGAATGTAGCTCGGTACAGCTTGTGTAGTTGACAGAATCTTACGAAGTCGATTGGTTTCAGAGGATCCTTCAACATTAGAGCAGAAGTCCCTCCATGCCTTCCTCTTCGCGTTCCTGATCATATTCTTAAAGTGGTTCACAGAGGACTTATAGGAAGACCAGTTATTTGATCTCTTGGCCTCATTGAACAGCTTACGACACTCTTTTCTAGCGCGCGCAATGTCAGGATTCCACCACGGAGGCTTTGATTTTCCTCTCTTGGCGGAAGGTTTACAGGCAATATTAGTAGCCGAGCGGAAAGCTTCTGTTAGTTCTGCAACGGCCGTATCAATATCCTCCGTACTCTCAATAGTAGGGGGAGACATAAGAGAAATGGAAAGCATACTATTCTGAACCTCCCAATTCGTTTTCCTTCTGTTAAGAATACTAGTAGTATTCACTTTTATAGTACCAACTGTAAAATCAATATACCGATGG